CCCCCTTTTCTATGTTTCCCCCCTTTTTCCCTCGGTCAGGGGCTGTTAGAGAATTTGGGGGACAAACTCAGAATATCTTTCTACAACCAAAAATGAAAAACCAAAGTAAAACTAGAAAGTGGAGCTTTGATGGGATGCGAACTCTTGACTTGTGGGTGGAAGTCTTCTCATTTCTGCCACCCCACCTACCTCCCATTATGTTTGCATGTAATCTCCTCTAAAATTCACTTCATGCTCGGCCAAAAAATTAAAACTGGCAAACAAAAGTGGAGAAAACGACCAAAAAATGTCAAAGGAGAGACCTCCACCAGCTAGCAAACAGCTTAGGATAGAGAAGCACGTTCAAGCAGTAAGACACAGATGGAGGCGACGAGTGCAGAGCAAACAAGGACAATACAGGGAATTGGTAAAAGGCAGGAAGTAGAACCAGCCAAAACACACAAAACACTACTAAAATAAACAGGGAGTGGTTAAAGCATGGAGATGAACAAGGAAGATGCAGCCATTAAAAAACATTGAAGAAAACCATCAAACAAATAAACGCACCACAAACCACAAACTCCTGCTTGATGATATTAGTCACCTTTAATCTGAGGCTCATTCAAATCTGCTCCGATATGAAGTAAAACGTCCATAATATAACTTGAGAATGAATCTAATCTGAGCCTGGGAGGCCCTCGCATGTTAATCACAAGCTTCAAATTAATTATGAAAGAACTCCCCAGAGATGTTTTGACAGTCATCCTCCGCACATCGCTACTCATTGTCTTGCCAAGGGGACGCTTGTTAAAGTGAGATTAATTCAGATTAAGTCATAGTGTCGTGAAAATGCCCAAAAAGTAGTCAGAGTATTGGGGAGGGAAATGAGCACGCTGGAGACCCCGTGGTCTCCTGCTGTGTGTGAATATCTCGTCCCACTTGTCCTTATCCGAGAGAAGCAGGCTCGCCGGACCACGATCAGATTGGGTGAAATTACTCCCCGCTAAACCTCCAGGAGCTGCACGGGGTCCTTATGAGGAGAAGCAAACCCCACTTTGACTCACACATGGCTCGGGGCAGGAGAAAAGTTGCCTCATTGCTATTCAGTCTATTTTTACCCTCCCCT